CTATAAATCGTCAAATTTTCAGTATTTTGTACAATACAGTTTTTAAGTCTCAGTGAAAAATAATTGTTTAGATGTAAGAACTTATAGAGACAGGCAAGTCGATATGGTCTACCATGTGGCCGCATCAGGATTCGTTCCTTTCAAAGTCCGTTGTGGATCTTACAAGATCCGGATTTCACCCATAGGAGAAAGTTGTGGTGGCAGCAATGGATATCAGACTCGTGACTAGCATAGCTTATTCTAGTACTTGCAATACATTTCATTAATATACTTGGGATGTTTTGTTGTAAGCGATACTTACGGTGCACTCGGCGATCCAAATGCATCACATACTCCCCATCGTTTTTGTGGTTCTCGCACGTTTTTACCGGGATGGAAGAAAAGTTTAACTTCACGATCGGACTCTTAATAAAAGAATTATTTGGTCAAAAAATAAATTTGCTAATCATATTATTTTACTCACGTATGCCAGGCAGACTACAAAACGAAATCTTAGTGGCAGTTGTATGAGCTAAAAACCGCACAGATTTTTAATTTGTTTGACAGCAAGTAAACAGATGTAAACCTTCATTATTATTGTTAACGGGTACGGGATAAAGGATAGACTCAGGAATATTATTCTGGTAGGATTCCACCGCTACCTCTTGAACGTCCAACCCTAAAGCAAGAAAAGTATGATCTCATCTACAACAATAACCTCTTGTTTCATTCTCGACGAAGACAACATTTTTCTCAGTTGTAAACGTGGTACCAGAGATCAGCATAATTAACTACATATAGACCACCAAATTTTATCGAAATTTGAGGAAAACATTTTCAAGCTTCCCAGAGTTATGAAAGGTGACCCAAACTAGATACTAGAATTTGGCGAGACTAAGTGATGAGATATGATCCAGATATCATCTTCTCGTGTTTTTTATAGAAAAACATCAAATCTGTTGAAGGAAAATAACTCACTACAGTTCCTCTTCTCCTCGTGAGGCTATGGTTCTATCTTTTTGAAAGCATGATTTTTCTGTACACTACATATAATGTTTATTTTTTCAGTTATTTTCTTCAGAAGATGTTGCTCGTGAGAGTCTCCAATATGGATTTGCATAGTTTTAATCGTAACGCAACTAGATAAATTATTGCTTACTTGTGATATCATCTTCGTTAGAAGTTTCTGCATTCTCAGATGGAACTACTGGCGATTGCTCATTCTTCCTGGTATAGAACAACATGTAGGCCGTTTTCTGCTGACGCATTACTCTTCCGGTTTCACACGGCATTACTCTTGCATCGTCAACCATAAACCAGCCACCGGTCAATAAATTTTTACGATAACATATATAATGTCCTTGGTCAAGACTATCACCCAAATGAGTAATGACTGCAGAAAGATCATAATCAAAAGATGTATTATTTTGCGAAACATATTTTGTGAGATAGAGGACTTCGTCAAAAATCACAGCAGTGTTCTTAGTTGCAGGAGTACGTTTTAAGCAGATCAAAAAATTGGACGAAAGAGATAGAAACGAAACTTTCATTTGAGCATTTGTTTTACATATATCACAGTGATAATCGGTTAAGTGTTCTATCTGACAAACTGTATCTAGGAGTCGGCAGAGTTGATTATCAGATTTTGGATCGGTTATCGGTACGTTCAACAAATAGTGAGTTTCGGAATGAGACGACCGAGTACAACAGTGAGAGCACTCGATAGTTGTTGTTAGATCAAAACAAAAAGGATTTCGAAATACAGCCGACTTTTCGAAGTATCGGAATAAGTTCAATAGGAATTCACTGGCATCCTGTTGAACATTGCGAACAAAACGGGGATCTAATTCGGTTAGACGACTTATTAATTTTACAAGAGCCGGTGAGTTGTCTGGCATATGATAATGGCAATGAATTTGTCTCACGAGTTTGTCCAGTAGACACATAAAACATGCACCTGAAAAAGACCAAGAAAAAAGTAATAACAACGTGCTTTTTTTCGCATTATCGATACAGCAAATACCGAAAATAAGGAGTTGAAGAGAAATTTTAATTCACTACAACCTGTAATCTGCACAAGTCAAGTGATTTATGCCATTATTACAGACAAAACTCATGTCAAAACGTGTTAGATCAGAGTTCCAATAAACGAAATTTTCAATTCGTCCGAATGAATACGAAAAAAAATCAGTTTTTCGTCTCATTTTGTAGAACTCACATTGCCCCACAATCCCGCATATTCAAATGTTTTGTTCAACGTAAAGTTTTGCCACAAGAAGTTAATTTCTCCATATTAGCATGATCTACAGATTGCGGCTTCAGCAATAGACTGTTACAACTTTTTACAGGCTTTCAACCTATTCCAGTTTGTAGGACTACCTTCTTTGTATGGGATTCCACCAGTAGTTTTTCGTTTTATTAGTTAAATTTATCTGAAAAATATTTTTATTACTTTTTTGCACTTTTCCAGATGCTAGTGTGGAATAACAATGGCTGAAGAAATCCACACCAACCGGTCATTTTCAAGTAAAAGCAACTAATTATTTCATGATGTGAAAGCCATCATCATCTACTTTATTTTAATATTAAAAATTATTTAGGTTCTTTTCAAAAAGTTTTGCAATACATATTTATTAAAAAGGAGTCCCAAAATATCTGAATTCCACTGTAGAAAACCTGAACATTTTTTCAAATATTAACAACAGTTTCCGTTCGTATGAAATAAAACTCGGAACGTTTCTCTATCAAACAAAAAAACAACTTTGAAGTTTAGTTAAGAAATGGCAGAGTTATTAAAATTTTTTATTGTGTAGTGACTTTTAGGACACCATACAATTTAAAAAACTTAAGATCTCGCTTATATGTCGTAGACTTCTCAAACGTCTAAGTGAATCTTTGACTATTAGACTAATGCGCACGTGGAGTTAAACTTCTTTTTCTAGCGATATTATTGAGGAAAATTAACTTTTTCAATAGTCGTATTCAAGCACATTTATATATATATATATTTATACCTTTTCATTGTGTCATATCTATCTATTGTGCAGCTTACGAGGAAATCTCGCGAACTGTCACATCGCTTTTTCAGGATAATAGAAAATTCACAGATTTCTGAAGGATAGAAAAACTATATTTTCCGAAAAACGTTAACTGATTTTCACGCTATCTTATGTGTAATGAATTTCCAGTTTTCCACAGCTCCAAATTAAATGAATTTTTTGCCAAAATGTGCGTTCAAATGCCCTCTATCCACTCTGCACGCCAAAAAATGCCAATAATTGATAAAATAAAGTTATTCATTTTCAAAAACATTTGAGTTTTGAAGAAAAATTTATTTTTCTCGCTCTAAAATTATTGTATTCTAAACAATAATGTGATATTCGGAATCAGCGTGAAAATTTACATGGAATGAGGTAAAATTTCTTAGTTTTCCAAATAAAACACAAAAGACGAAAATTCAGGGCAACGATCACCCTAACAGTCACTGCACGAGAAAGACGACTGTGTCTCACAGAAGCGCGCTCAATGACCATTTCGGAACCTTTTCTAAGTAGTCTCATCTTGTAGAGTATGTTTCAAAAATCTATAAATCCAAACTTTTAGACTTTCCGAACTTTTCGTTCTGACCCTCACCCTCACCCTCACCCTCTAAAACTTTTTCACCTGGAGTAAAGTTCGAGAAGCTCTACGCGTGAAAAACGTACATTTTTCTCGTGAACGAGAGCTGGACCCGTGCTTTTTTCAGGGTAGGTATAGGTAGTACTACCATATAAAGACATACAAATATTACGTATACCTCTCATCCCACAC